ATATATATAAATATAAATAATGTTTTACCCTAAAGAACATGGATGCAGCATTGCACAGATGCACTAGTGGTTGCAGTAGCTGAACAAGCAGCTTTCCCCAATCCACTGTTTTCTAGTGGGACTACAAATACCAGACTAGGACGCAACTGCAGGGAAGCCTTCGAATTGTATCCAGAAATATATAAAGGAAGTGAGTCTGGGAAATGTTTGAAGATATTCGCACACACAATTGAAGGAACCATGGCAAAGTTGGATCTCTTTTTTTAATAACATAGGGCCTCTTGAATAAAATGTATAGGTCCCAATGAAGATTTTTGGCACATGTCTGTTGCGGTTTAGAATTGTAGGTATCCCTGGGGATGTTATTACTTTAAATTTCAAACGACTTCCTTGCTGAAGAAATACAACTTGAACCTACAACTTTATAGAAACTAAGATTTGTCATTACCTTTTTCACTATTCTGTAACTCCTTTATATGGTATAGTGGTAGGAGGCAGAACAAATGCAGTCTAATATTTACATGCCATGTTGAGTTTGCATGGCTGACAAGTTGAAAAAATAAGCAAAAAAATATTTGATTTGCAAGATCAGAAAAAGCAAACAGGAATCACCTACACAGAGAATAAATGTCAATCACCTGACAAGGGGCTTTCTGCAGTTAGGCTCCTTGACAAATATAATTTAGCATTTCAATCAGTAGTTAAGCATTCAACTCACAAAATAATTTAATACTGAGTTTTAAAAAAAAAATCAAACTTTGAAATGAGAAACATTTCTGCCACAGGACTTGTAGAAATACAGAGTTATCTGTTCTTGCTATAGTCCTTTTCAGTACATAGATGGCACTTATTCTTTTATAAAAACAAGTAAAACAATACAACATGACAGATTATCGTTTGTGCAAAGATATCCAGCAACTGAACAGAATGTATACTGTGGTCTTCTGCAACTACACCTCCGACATCAGCTTTTCTCAAATTACTCACTTGCAGACATATTGGCTTATGATTCTCAGCAAGATCAGAAATTCTGAGAGTTGTAGACATACATACCTAGAAGGCATCAGTTGACAAAGAGTTTCTTACATTATCCATTGATTCAAACTGGGGCACAAGGCAGCAGCATTTGAAGGAGCACTGGAGTCAGGAGGATCTGACAAGAATCCATCGTACCTAACAGTTTTATATCATACACCACTCAGTGGGTCAGCAGGTTTGTCTGTG